AAAGGAGAGACAAGGAAAGAGGACGAGGAAGAGATGATATACCAAAAGTGGTTTCGACGCTGCCCACTCTGAAGGAATCCGAGCAGGAGGGGGAGAATGCACAAATTTCCTGCAAGTTTAGGAGAGGTGGAGGAAGGGGAGATCTTGGAAGGGTCGACGAAGATTCCAAGACCCAATGTACTGGACACCAGACCGGCGGAAGCGGATCGGTTGAGTGACTGAGGGGCGCTAGAGGACAGATCCAAAATGATTCGGAAAAGCCCCTGGAACGGATGACAGCTTCCAGATGGCTTGACGACGGAGACGTGGAGACTCGAGCGCAATGGTCAACAGACGGATATGAGACTTTGCTCGCACGGATCACGAGTAGTGAACAGGGTTGGAAGTATTATTAAGGGTCACCGACAGGCGATGTCTCCCATATCGAGACACGGTTTCCTAAGCAATCAACAAAACAAGCGGCGGCGGGGGGGAGGAGAAAGACGCGTGACAGGGCCACTATGCACGAGCAGTTTGAAGCGGGAAACCGATAATTGACGATAAACAGCAAATAACAGGCACAAAAGAGCGGACGAAGAAGCGGTGGCAGACAACCCAAAGCAGAAAGGCACGACTGGTTTCGACGTTAGAATGAAAAGGGTCACGAGTCGAGAGGACAGACTCGATAACTAGACCACGAACCTCCACTTGGAGAGAACGAGGAGATTGACGAACGAGAGACAAGACTTGGAGAGAGTGGAGGTCCACAGAGGGAAATAGGAGGCGGATAGTGGACGAGCAAGGAGACCGGCGGAAAGGACGGTGAACAGCGAGTAGGAAGCAGACGATCAAGCTGGAGCAGGAATAGCGGACAACGAGCCTAGCACGCGTCGAGGAATGATTCTCGTTAGAGCAGCAGCGATCACAGACAACGATGCCACAGTGGCCAGCGACCGCGGAGCTGGAAAGCCATTAACGAAGTTTAAGGGGCTGGGAGCCTGGGATGGCTTCAGACGAGGTGAGATGTGGAGTGACTGGGAGGAGAGCTACGAGGACTGAGCTCGTCTGGTCGCGACGAGAGCAGAGCAGATGGACAGGAATGGGTCCGACTGCGAACTTTAGGGCAGGGTCCAACAGCAACGGTAACAGCCATACCTCCTCAGCAGGCGGCGGTTTGGGTGCCAACGCAGGCCTGAAGGATGTCTGGAGAGTTTGGCGCATCGCACCGCGCCGCACCAGGGCCAGCAGTGGGGTCAACCGACCGGCGGCGTGCTGCTTAGCGGCGGGCTAGCAAGGGACAGCCCAGGGGGGCAGCGTGTCTGGCCCCAGCTGAGCTCCAGCCGTTGTCAGGGCGCCGCGCTTGGTGGCCGAGACCGGCGAGACCAGCCCGTACCGTATCCAGCCCGTCTCTGGTATGTATCGCCTGGCTCGACGCGTCGCCGCACGCACTGCTTGGGGTAGCTCAATCCACGCGTAGCTCCTTGGAGAGATCAAAAGATGCCCTGAGCTTGGTCACAATGCTGCAGTGTTTGCTGCCCCTCCCGCGCGCAGGTGCTCTGTCATGCAGTATGTTTGCGTCCTGCTCTTGACCTCGAGCAGGCAGGCCGTGATTGGGAGCCAGCTGTGCTTTTCGACGCCGGCTCTCAGATCGGGCTCCACCGTGCCCAAGAGCTTCGCCTGTTACGGAAATCGTGCCGAGCCGCCAACGCAGCCACGGCGAGGCGGGTACGCTGTGCGTGTGCTCAGCAGACGATACATTACCATCTACGTATCATATCCTGACACGCGGTATCCTTACAAACAATACGCACGCTGCGTCGCCGTCCACAAATCACGTTCCTGTTTAACTCCCGAGGTCAACGCCAGTCGTACGAGCCGTCAGCCGCCTGGGCTGCAGGCTGCAGCTGGCTGCTGCATAACACATCGCGGATTCTTCGGCTCATCCTGCGGCCCGTCATCCTGCGGTGGATTTTCTGGGGAGTCCATACGCGCGCGACTGGGTTGCATATCCAGGATCCTCGCTGGGTAACCACGCGGTAATTACCGAGTGCGTGATAGCTTCTCAGAGAATGCGCGGTGCACAGATCAGAAATGATCGAATGCTCCAAGGCTGCCACAAAAATTAATTCTTCCTTACCGCCATCTTGTCTGGGTTTTGAGGAGGCTTCCTGTGTTCGCGTGATGTAAGATTCACCTAGGTGGCTAGGTCCATCTTGAGGTACCACGTAAGTACCTCTAACCTTGACCTTACCTGGGTTCTCTCAAACAAGCATAGCGTTCTTTTGTAGAGTACTACTAGAGTTTGGCCTCAGTTTATCGGCTTCTCTCTTCGAGAATCAACTGAAGTAGAGTCAAATCTGAGACTAGATCATTTCGGTCAAGACTCGAGAGCCACGAGAGCGCGACTATTAACGGCCGTGTCTTACCTGCGTTGTGAATTGCTCACCGTTCTCGCAACTAACGTAATCCACCACCGAGCTGGTCACACCACCGAGCTGGTCAGCCACAACACCAACACCGAGTTTTTGACTATTACTACCACCACCACCCACCACCACCTAATGGCCGATATATCTAGGGAGGAACGTCTTCAATTGGCCCTTCAGGCCTATAAAAAGGGCCAATTTCCATCAATCCAAAAGGCTGCAGATGCATTTGACGTGCCTAAAAGCACCTTAATAACACGTGTCAGTGGGACTACTTCTCGCAAAGATTCAATCGCCA